CACCATGATTTACATCCTTCCAAATGCTCTGTTGGGCCGGGGTTGGGGTTCTTCCTTTTGGAAGAAGAATTATTGTACAAATGGGAAAGTAGAAATTAATATATTTTATTAGGAGGAGAGATTTTGTAGGAATTGGGCGGGAAGTTAAAATTTCAGGATTTTATTTTTATATATAGTATTGTACGAATGGGAAAGTAGAAATCAATATATTTTATTAGGAGGAGAGATTTTTTAGGAATTGGGCGGGAAGTTAAAATTTCAGGATTTTGTTTTTATATGTAGTATAGATTGTATTACAGTATTTTATAATAATATGAGAATAGAATTTTAACGCAGAATTATTGTACGAATGGGAAATTAGAAATCAATATATTTTATTAGGAGGAGAGATTTTGTAGGAATTGGGCGGGAAGTTAAAATTTCAGGATTTTGTTTTTATATATAGTATAGATATAGATTTAAGATCATTATATTAGCATCTCTATATATTTTGACGTATTTCTTAATGTTAACATTAACACTAAATTATCTCATGCATGTTGTTTATTTCTTCTCGTGGCCCAAAAAAAAAAAAAAAAAAAACCTGGCAGTCAAATATTGTAAAACTTAAAATAAATAAAACAATAACATATTACAAAATCTTAATAGATGTCGCGTCTTATTGCCAAAATTTGACGAATTTGATCAACTTCAGCATTTTGATCAAGTAAAAATGCTAAAAATAATTAGCGATTGGAAATAGTTTATTGCTTCAAATCGCCAAAATTTAAAATTGTAGCGTTTCACTTCAGCTGTTGGAAATATTCTTTTGTATGTAATTTCACTAGTGCCCCAAACTCCTAGTGTGGAGAAGAAAAGCCGTGCATAATTCGCACAGCTAGCTTCTAATGAGGAGCATGGCCTCATGCTCCTAGGGCTGTTACGTTAACGAACAGAGCTTTCGGTAAACTACTCGTGTTCGTTTTCGTATTCGATTATTACGGTAAATGAATATTAACAAACAAAATTTAATTTAGAGCTTGATTTATAAATGAACAAAGTTTGAACAATTGTAAGCTCGTTTGCTAAGAGATTGTGAACAAGCTAAGCTCGTTTAGTACGTGTTCGTTGAATATTTGTTTGTATTATCTTAGTAGTTGTGTTACTTGTTTGGTTATTTTTCGTGAACATAGATTATTTCTTGTTTACAAACGAATTGTAATCATGAACATGTTCATATGTTTGGTTAGTAAGCATTCACGAACGTGTTTATTAACGTGAACGTACGTGTTCGTTAATGTTAACGAACATGTTCATGAACGTGTTTGTTAATGTTAACAAACGAACACGAACATGATTTTCAAAAAACCTTAACAAACGAACACAAATACAAACACTCTAAAAACCTTAAAAACCAACCCGAACAACCTCCATTCGTTTTTGTTCGGTTCAATTCGTTAACAACCCTATGCTCTATCGCCCAAGGTTTTTTCATTTTTTTTTTTATTTTAAAAATTATAATTATATTATATTATATTAATAAATTTATAATATTAATAAAAAATTAATATTACTCATTGTCATGTTTCCCTCTCATCTTCTGCTGTGTATGTCCTATATTACTCATTGTCATGTTTCCAAAAATTTACATGGCATTACCCTTTCTCACCAATATTATTTACATAGGAAGGAGGTCTGCATTGTAAATCTCAATAAAAACAAATATTACATTCTTTTAAAAAAAATTAATAAATGAACCTACATTATATTAAAAACCAACCTAAACTTTTTTTTTTTTTTTTTGAAAGTCACTGGCTCTATTACATTGTAGTATCTGTTCATATACTTTCTCAACCTACTGAAACACAAAGAACCAATAACGCCTCCACTGAGGTTCGAACTCATAATCTTCCAAATGGAAGTCCAACCCGGGTACCATTAGACCACATAGTCCTGGTCAATCATTATTGTGATTCAATCATTATTGTGTGGACCATGGTCCACCCAAATTATGTGAATCATATTTTGTATACTGTAAAATAATGTACATTCAGTACAAAAATAATATACATTCAATACAAAAATAATGTACATTGTACACATAGTTGACGTGATTGTCATCCTATTAAAACTTTATTATTTTTAAAATTTATTTTAATAATTTTAAATAAAATTAAATTAAAAATAAAAAATCGCCATCCTCTTCTTCCGACCACCGGGTGGTCGAATATTTAAAAAGAAGTTTGTGGGTCATGTGACCAACTTTGATGTTGCAACTTATCCACCAACATTTGACGGATTTGACCAACTTCAACATTTTGATCAAATAAAAATATTAAAAATAATTAACAGTTTGAAATAGTTTATAGCTTCAAATTGTCAAAACTTGAAATTGCAGCGTTTCAGTTCAGTAGTTGAAAATATTATTTTGTACTTAATTCCACTAATGCCTCAAACTCCTAACGTGGAGACAAAAAGTGGTGCATAATTCGCACAGCTTCTAATTTGGAGCATGGCCTCATGCATAATAAGATTTCTTAAAATAATTTATAATTATCATGTAAAATGAATAATTAGTGAATGAGAAAAATAACGTTGGGATGACTTTTAAGTGAGTTTTGTACCACATTATATTGAATAAACTTGAAGATTTGGACGTGTACACACACACACACACACACACATGTATATATATATATATATATATATATATATATATATATATATATATATATATATATATATATATATATATATATATATATATGTTTAGGATCAAGTGCACATGTCACTTCCTGTGCGAAAATGCGGTTGGAGCCCTTTAAGGCTGAAACCCATGCATTTGAAGGTCAAAAATGTGCATTTGAAGGCAAATAGATGCGCAATTGATGCAATTTATGGTGTAAAAAATGGAGGTTATTCAACTTAAGTGTTATTAAACTAATTACCCATACAAATCGTTTGTAAATCTCATTAGAAATTAAGTAATAGAGTTTATTACCAAAATAGTCCCTTGACTATTATGAAATTACTAATTTGGTCCTCGACAATTTTTCTTGCCCAATTAAGTCCTCAACTTCGAAAATGTTAACCATTTGTGTCCTCCGTTAAGTAGATGTTAGAAGTTTGTTAACGGCGGTTTTGACGAGCTCGTCTGCGTACGATCCGGCGGTGCGGATGACAGAGACGCGGCGAGATTTCCATTCCGCAGAACGGCGGAACTCCGGCGAGCATTATGTACGGAATTTTAGGTTTGGGTTTAAGGTGTTGAAGAAGTTTGCAGAATTTAGTTTATGGATAATGAAATCTTCGGTCCATGGAGGAGGGGGTTTGGCACGAAGAAGTTTGGAGAACAGCTGGAGAACACCGGTGAAGAGTTGGAGAATCTCATGTGAAATTCCATCGATGTCCTCTAATTTAACAGAACTTTAACGTCTAACCTAACAAAGGACTAAAATGGTTAACATTTTCAAAGTCGATGACTTAATTGGGTAAGAAAAGTTGTCGATGATCAAATTGGTAATTTCGCATTAGTCGAAGGACCATTTCGGTAATAAATTCTTAAGTAATATGTTATTGAAAAAATGCACAACATATAACAAATAGTGCTCAGCAGTTGTGCTCTTGAAGGCAAAGAAACATGCACTTGAAGGCATAAAACTGTGTAGTTGAAGGCAAAAAATTTGCACAAGGAAGAAAGGAAAATGTGCACTCGAAGAATGACAAATGTGCACTCGGAAGCAAAAGACAATCTGACTTATTTGCTCAAAATTACAAGAATGTCATCGTGCGTTTTTTTAATTAAACCTCAATTTGGGCTGTTGATTTAGATTGCATCTATGGCTGGGAAATCTGCATTTTTTACCTAATGGTGCTTTTTTATTTGATCATTTACACACACACACACACAAATATATATATATATATATATATATATATATATATATATATATATATATATATAGAAATAGGTTCATGTGCAGTGGACAGCTCCAGGTGCCCCCCCCCCCCAAACTTTTGTAGTAAAGCTTATTTGATAAGTAAATCTCAAATGGAAATTAAATAAAATATATTAATTCGTAAATAATAATAATAATAATAATAATAATAATTCAACGTTTAGATTACTAAAATTAAATTAAAAAAACGCATTGGCATTTTGGTAATTGTTTGCATCTAGGTAATTTTAAGGTGTTTGTGTTTGGACTTAATGTGCGTGAGGGTTGTGCATAAGTTGCGTGAGGTTAGTGATTAATGTCAGTAGTTGTTGAAACTTAAGGTGAGTGAGGTTTGTGTTTAAGGTGCTTGGGGTTTGTGCTTAATGTGCACGAGGTTTGTGCTTAAGGTGTGTGGGGTTATTGATTAATGTCAGTAGTTGTTGAAATTATGTTGTGTGAGTTAACACTTAAAGTGCGTCAGTTTAATGCTTAATGTGCGAAAGGTTTGTGTTTAATGTGTGTGGGGTTTATGCTTAATGTGTTTGAGTTTGTGCTTAATGTGAAACATTTTAAAATTGTAAGTGTGTGGGTTTTGTGCTTAATGTGCTTTGTTCTGTGTGCTTAAAGTGCGTGGTTTATGTAGTTAATGTGAGTGATTTGTGTTCATAAGGTGCTTTGTTTGTGTGCTTAAGGTGCTTGGTGATTTTGTATATTTTTTTTTTGAGAACAATGACTTAAGGTGCCCCATGTTAATGTTTAATTAAGGTGCGTCCAACTGTACAACCGCACGGGTAGCATCACCCGCACCTGAACCCTTCCAAATATATATATAGAGGAAAAAATTCAGATGTGAACTGTTATTATCTTGTGAACTTGTGCACTGTTTTTAACCTTTCATGTTGGCTGATCGAGGGTTGTGATTGCATTTCTATTTTGGGTGCACGCGAGACCAGTGCACCGTCTACATGCTATTTGTTGGGTTGTAGAGGTCATAGGGGCATTTTAGTATTTTGCACTCCCCCACTTTATGTTTTTTTTTTTTTTTTTCCATGTCGCTTCTCTCTCTCTCTTGCGTACACCGTATTCTCAGTGCTTTCTCTCCCGAGGGTTGCGCGATTAGGGATGGCTAGGTCCAATGGCAGTCTACAATCGAAGAGGGCTGCGTCCGGCCATCTATTCGCGCCGCCGATACCATCCTCGGCCGTTGCTCACAGAGTGCACTCGGCGGCTAGGCCCTTCAAGCGCCGCGCTGGTGGCCGTCAGCCGCCCTCCACGACGGGTGGTGCATTTGACTGGGAATCTGGGATGCGAACAGGGTAGCTTCTAGGGTCTCCGCAAGGCGACGAGCGGTGCACCGGTGGGCACAACGAGGTTAGTGCCGGTTTTCTTGCTCTGTCGTTATATTCCTAGTATTGCAGTCTTCTTTTTGCTCAAATTGCTCGAATTGGAATTTGGGGTACGTTGTGCCTTGTGTGCATTCGGTGCTCGTGGCCATTTCATCCCGGCTTGCATGTTAGTTCTTGATTATATTGAATTTGATTATATTTATTTTGCTTATTCTGTTTTGGATGCTACTGTGATCTTGTGACCACCAATCTTAGGAATAGCAACATAGTTTACCTTGACTGTGATTGCTTACCAACCTAATTTGGACTGTACACAACCAAATTTTTTTGATTGGAGGAACATGCAAGCTAAGAGCAATGATGTCTGATCTCTTAGGATAATTATTATGGATTTCATGTGTAATATATCACTAATCAAGCTGATTAGTACACTGTATTAGGGTTAACTTGACAATGCCGATGATGTCTGTTAGAGTAATTATGAATTCCATGTCTCACTAATTAAGATAATCAGTGCATGGTATATATATGTTATGTGCATTATTTGTCTGTTTGATTATATTTATTTTGCTTATTCTGTTTTGAATGCTACTGGTTGCTGGAAAAAAAAAAAAACAAAATAAGTTCTTGATTTGTATCTTCAGTTTTTGGAAAAAAAGAAAGAAAATAAGTTCTTGTATTGGTTGAGGGTTTAATTTCTTGTTCTATATCTTCAATTTTCCTCTCTCAGCGGTTCGTGATGCATTGGGTGTGGCGGCGGCCGGAGTTGCTTCCCAGGTTTCTTCTAGGCGGCGGTTGGCGCAGAGGTGGGCTCACCGTGGTAAGTGGGGTGTTGTGTGCTTTATGTTTACAGTCATGGGCTATTTCTATGGTTGTGTCCTTGCTGTGCATTATTTGCCTAACTACATTGAGACCGCTTAGTTCGTATTTTTGAAAGGTCTGTGGAATAAAAGCATCGGTTGTGCATTCTTAGCCTAATCACTTAGCTAACATTTAGATAGGATTCCAGTGAGGCCTGTGCAATATAAAGAGCTGTTTAAACCACTGCACTCAGTACTCTTCGAGAACAGTAGGGTAATGCATTAAATTTCATTAGAGGATTGCATTCCTATTCCTAATGCATTAGATGATTGCAACCATTATTCTTACTCTATGGGTCGCTCGATGTATTTGTGGATTGCAGCCATTTTCGTATTGTGCACTCCTAGCCTAATTTAGTTAGATTGAATTTGGATAGGATTGCATCCGTATATGAAAATTAATACACGGATGATGCATTAAATTTCAGGACGGCGGATTGCATTCCTACTCCTAATGCATTAGAGTAAATCTCATTGGACCCATTTATTGAAGATTAACTAGTTAGACCATAATGCATTGGACCCATTTACTGAAGATTAACTATTTACACTTCTTACTGGAGGGTAGGTTTAATTAACTAAATTAGGTGTTTAAAAATTTAATTATCTACTGGCCAGTATGTAATTGACTGGACAGTTCAATATGCTTAAATCACTGATTGATTGGACTAGTTAAAGGAAAACAAATTCTCCCTTATTGTTTGTAATCTTTGTATAATAGTAAGAATAATAGTAATGTTTTAATTATATTTCAATTGATAGAAAATGATATGATTACGTTTGAATCTGTTTAGGGTGCCATTTACTTATTTGATCAATATCTTAGTTAAGCATTTGGATTTGAATCTGTTAAGGTTTGCAACTACATTGTTAGCGGCTGGAATGCATTGCTCATTGATACTAAATGATAGGATGAGGTTTGAATCGGTTAAGTGTCCCATTTACTAATTTGTTCAATATCTTAGTTTTGCATTTCAAATTAAATCGGTTAAGGGTTGCAACTGCATTAGTTCCATTCTGTTAAGGGTTGCAATTGAAAACAGTAGGCAATAAAGGGTTGCGTCTACGTTGTTAGCAGCTGGAGTTTTTCAAGTTTTGTTGTTCTGGTAGGGGACCTTGTGCTATATGCTTTAACTCATAGTTCACCATTGCACCATGTGGCATGTCGTTGGGGAGGGGGTGTTAACACATTGCTAAGCAATTTTGGTGCACTTCACTTACTATGATCATTAAATTAAATATGCCCAAATTCTGCAATGCATTTATTGTTAAAAAGAATGGCATCACTATACTCTAAAGATGGAAAAAATGTGGGCACTACAAGTTAGGAGCTCTAGTTATTAATACGTGCATCTGGCTACCTCCGTTGTGCATACATCTTAATAGTTAATACGTTATTAACAGTTAACACGTGCATCTGGTTGTCTTGCAGGTTGACTAGCTTGCCTCTTTCCTTGAAATCAACAACCAGCCAATTCATGCAGTTATGATCCGCAACATGGAACCGAAGAAGATGCAAATAGTATGGCGGGATACAACTAACAAGTATGACTCCAGAGTGTACGCGATGCGTCATATGGAGTCATTTACTGGACAAGATTGTGTAGAATGGGAGTGCGGGTTGATAAAAGGGGACACAGAACAACTTCAAAACCTTCAAAAGCGTTTCATGCATAACATTATTATGTCGGATGTAAATGAGCACAAGCCATCAGTATCTACTCACGTTGCACAGTATGACCGTGAAAGGTCAGGCAAGGCTACCTAGCACAATCGGAACACTACAACACTATGTTTTTATGGTTTTGACTAGTTTTTGGATAGTACATCAATGTTGTTGTTGTTTTATTTAAACTTGGGTACTGATTCGATTTGTTAGCATCCTACTGTAACAATTATTTTCTATCTACTCAACTACATGTAGCAGGAAACTATTTGGGCTTTGGCGCACAAATTAAATTTTGTTGCACTAAGCGTGTTTGTGTGTGTGTGTGTAAGCTGCATGAGCTGCCGTGATAATTCATCTTATTGAACAAGGAGAAAGCAGAAAAATCTTTGGTTGCTGTTAAGTATTTCTATTCACCTTGATCAGCCAAGGGTACCTAGGAGGCTAGGATGGCAAAACTACTTGTGATCAAACTTTGGGGCATGTTTTGTGTACATAATTCTGCTTGTTAAACACCGATAGGCTAGGCGTGTTCCCTCCTATTTGTTTGGGAACACAGTTTGCTGTGATACTGCTTATTAAAGTAGGATATTGCTGGAAAAGCAATGGGTGCACTAAAGTGATTCTTTTTGGTGTGCACACAACTCATTGAATATAGCATTGTAATAAGTAGATATGCTAATGCAACGGTTTTTGTCGCCTGGTCGTAATAGATTATTAAGCTAAGTTCGTTGTGCACAAGGATTCAGTAATGCACACACTTCACTGAAAATAGCATTACACTAACTAGTTATCCTAGTGCTACAGTTCTTGTTAAAAAAAAAAATCTTGTTAAAAAAAAAAAATATAAAAATAGAGGCATGCACTAGTTATTCTACTGTGAAGGTCTACTAACTGCTCCTTGTCACCTCTAATTAGACTGCAATCCCTCTCCCTGGGTGCCGCATTGCATATACTCTGGACTCTTGCAGATTTGTTGCTTCGCACCACACCATCGCTTTGGCTTCATGTTCCTTATCAGAACTGCACAAAAGGGTTGTTCCTGGCTGTCTAGGAAAGATGCTATCAAATCCATTTGCAAAAAAAAAGTTTGCATTGGTTCAGAACTGGTAAACTCCAGTTTGTTGCAAATAAAAAACGCAAGGATCCACCATAATATCGGATTATTTCATACTAAATAGAGAGAAGTTTGTCATGCACTTGAAGTATGGTCTACGGGTTCGCCAAGACATACTACCACCCCACAAAAGTAAGGTATCATATTGATGAATGCACACACAAAGCATTTAAAATTTGATAGCATAATCAGTATGCTTTACTTTTCTAAATGCACAACTGCAATGCATTTGAAGCCAGAATGCACAACGGGGTAGCACAATCAGAATGCTTTCCCTTTGTATATGCTCGTCTGAAATGCATTTGGAGTAACGTTGCACAACGGGGCAACCAACCGTGAACACCAACCCATAGCACTGAATATACCATACAGATGAGTGCACACACATAGCATTTGAAATTTTATACCACAAACAGAAGGCATTCTATTTAAAATGCACAACTGTGATGCATTTGATGTTAAAGTTCACAATGTGACACCCAACAGAAAATACCACCCCACAGATAATACAATCACGAGCACAACACAGAATTATTGTTTTTTAACTTTAACTACATTACTACTTGTCAAACTGACTTTAAAAATTCAGAAGAAACAAAATTAAAATAGTAGATTTATACCCCCAATTCATTGCTATACAAAATGAAAAAACCTTTAAATCACAACATTACATATATTGGCTTGACTACATATATAGTAAATAGTGAAATAGGGCAACACTACAAATAGTAAACGGTAAGCTGAACACACCCACACGAATTCACCAATTTAGTGCCACAAACTACATGCGTAGATGCTAAATTATACAGAAAAGACATTAACCCACACATGCAGTTTACGCAAACTATTGGGAATGGCTTGGATGAATAAGGGGGGAGGGGGTGCATTTGAATTCCAGGCACCACCACCTAAAAATGCAGAATGCACTACCACCCACCTCCGAAAACACACAGTAGAAAACCCCAACCCCACCCCCTCCCGCAATGCACCGCCCCAAACGCATTGCAAGTCCAGCCATCCAGGCCACCAGGAACCACCACCTAAAACACACAATATGCAAAACGTAGAATGCACTGCCACCCACCCCCGAAACAAACACAGTATGCAAAATTGAAAAAAAAAAATCAGGTCATGGGTGAATAACCAGTGCACAAGTGGGTGTAGTGCAGTGGATATAACCAACTCCAATGCCATGCAACCGAATAATAGAAGAAGCACTAACCCTAACCTGATAATTGATCTGAGTGCCGTCCGCGGCCCCGACCGAAGATTCACGATGGTGCATCTCCGTCGTCGCGGTGCAGCGGCCAATTCCTTCCGCCGGATGAGCTCTACCTAGCTACCGTAATCATCGGTAAAGAAAAACAAAGTTCTGTCTTGGAAATTCAAACCAAACTCTACAAAAACGCCCCATGCGCAATCTACGTGAAGGTCCAGCGAACGGGAGGAATAGTTTGTTTTGGACCATTAGATATCATCCGATCAGTGCACTACAGTAGTGCACAGGTTCACACAATAAAGATGGTTTGCACCTGAAAACTATATTGCATATTTACCATATATGCATATTTTGTGTTTATATAGTATAATTTTTGGTATCAAACATTTGAATGGTAATAAACGGAGAAAATGTCAACATACAAATGATAATTATATTCTTTCATTACTATACTAATTTTAATGGTAATTCATTAATTACTATATTTCACGATGAGTCAGCCTGTTCATGCCCATCATTTTTCAAGAAACATAGAAATGAAATAGTCAATTATTAAAATTGTTTACGATTTTGTTTTTAATTTTTGTCTAAAGTTAAAGATATATATTTTCGGCGATTATAACATTTTTTGTATGAACTGAAAATTTGAAAGTTTTACCTTTTTTGAGGTCTCTTACCATTTTATAATTTCAATATTGTGCCATTTTGAACTCATCCATGGTGTATAAATACACTCTATATGACCATACAAAATCCATTGAGGGGACATTTGTACTAAAGAGTAAATTTCTCCTTAAACTAAATTCGGGTGTCAAGAAAATCTCCGTTTTCATTCATAATGATATTCCTATTTCTGAGTCTCTCATCACCGTTCGGTACATCAATGATGTCTGGATTTCTGGGTCTTCCATTGTTTCCTTTGATCCTTATGATTGTGTCATTGCCAGTATTTTTTTTTTATTTGGGTTCAGTACAACGTGGATTTTTTTAGGAGGTTTCTCTAATTAAATTTTTGGTTAAAAATTTATATTTCCTTTGTATTTTATTTTATTACTTTTTTTATTTATACTAATATGTGAATGGAGTAACACAAAACCTGAAATTGTATTTGTTATTTATTTTTTCTTTTTAAATAATCATTATTTTTGTGTTTTACAAAAATTAAAAAAAAAATCAAATATAGCGAGATTTTTAATAGGTTAAACAAACATTCTACTCAAGTTGTGATATATATATATATATATATATATATATATATATATATATATATATATATATATATATATAAATTATAAAAATGCTGTAAAATGAACTCTGCTTGTTAAAAAAAAAACATAGAAACTTGAATGACATGTACAAATCTCAAAATCAACATACTAACTCTAAGTTTCAGAAAATCTTACAAAATTATCAAAATTACCGTCTTTATCATCCTCGATCGCATCTCTACAATCTTCTATAAAAACTAAACCAATAGGGTTCTGTTACAAATGCTCCTCCTCCTCAATTTCCTTTTGTTGAAGCAGAGCCTCCTTAAGTATCTTCAAACTCATACCAGACGATATAAACTGCAAAACATATTGAAGTACATGAGAATATAGTTAGAAAAATGTAGAAAATTCATACAAAAAGAAAGCAGAGAGATGAGTCTGAGATTCTTTGATTGAATGAAGAAGCCCTTGTATTTATAGGTAGAAAATACTAATTCAAAAGGAAAGTATAATAATTTATTTACTGGAAAGTATAATAATTTAATTATTTAAGGTAATAACATTATTATTTATTTATTTATTTATTTATTTATTTATTTATTTAATTTCCATTTGACATTTACTTACCAAATAAGTTTTACTACAAAAGTTTTGGGGGGAAAATTTGTTAGGAGGATTTTACTTTTATATATATATATATATATATATATATATATATATATATATATATATATATATATAGATTATTATTATTATTATTATTATTATTATTATTATTATTATTATTATTATTATTATTATTATTATTATTATTATTAAATATACGTATACCTTTAGGTCATTTTACATGTTAATTTAAACAGCTAATTTTTTCAAATATCTTTTTACCCACCGTTGATATAATTCGCTAGTCAAATCCGCTAGTATAATCCGCTAACACTAACCGCTAACTGCTGATTGTCAAACAAGGATATTGCGAGGTAGTTTCCCACTTTAATTTGTTGTGTGATTTGAATACTCTCTTTGTCAAAAAATCTCTCAATTTGTTAATATGATTGGCTTTATTATTTATATTTTTTTTTTAGTTTTTTCATGATATTTATAAAATACTTGGTAAATAAATATATAGTATTATTTTGTGTTATAACTTTGATATTTAATTAAAAAAAATAGTGCACAAAAAAGATAATAGACTATGTAGTCTCTGAATATAATCAATTGATGAATTTGAATGTATAGAATTTTTACATTGGAGAACAATAAAGACAATATAACTAATTAAATTATTTCTCTTAATTAATTTATTGATAATGAATAATTTTTTTTTTTGAATAAAGACATTGTAGGGACAATGTAACGAATATAATTAATTGATGAATTTGAATGTAAAGAAGTTTTATATTGGAGAGATGAGATAGATAATATCAATTTAGTTGAAACACAAACGGATTACAGAGAGTATATCAGACTGGACCTCTAAACACTCCTAAGAGATAGGTTATTACATAGAGACTAAGTCTAACACCACAAACTATATAACTATAGACTATACAACAACAACAATAATAGTAATAATAATAATAATAATAATAATAATAATAATAATAATAATAATAATAATAACAATAATAATAATAATAATAATAATAATAATAATAATAATAATAATAATAATAATAATAATAATAATAATAACGCTCACACACCCCCTCAAGCATAAGGTTGGTGAGCCATAACATTGAGCTTGTCTCGTAGAGTAGTGAACCTGGGCCTGGTAAGAGGCTTGGTGAGAATATCAGCAAGCTGGTCCTTGGTCGAGAAAAAATTAACCACGAAGTCACCTGAAGCCACCTTATCACGAACAAAGTGGTAGTCGATCTCTACATGCTTTGTCCGAGCGTGAAAAACCGGATTCGCACATAAATAGGTTGCGCCTAAGTTATCACACCATAAGTTCGATGGCTGGTCTAAATGTAATCCTAGCTCACGTATCAGAGAGACAACCTAAGTAACTTCAGCTGCAACATTTGCCAACGCCTTATATTCAGCTTCAGTGGACGAGCGAGCCACCGTGCATTGTTTTCAAGAGAGCCATAATGAGATTAGACCCTAAGAAGACAGCATATCCACTCGTGCTTTTCCTGTCAATTGGGCAGCCAGCCCAGTCAGAGTCCAAATAGGCATGAATAGTAGAAGTCAGTGAAGAGACGAGATGCAACCCATAGTCAAGAGTGCCCTTGATATATCGCAACACGCGCTTGACAATGCCCCAGTGGTCATCAGTGGGTGAGTGCATAAACTGACATAGGCGGTTGACAGCATATGCTAAGTCTGGTCGAGTGATGGTTAAGTACTGCAATGCTCCAACAATACGACGATACTGCGTCGGATTCTCATATGACTGATCCGATGGGGTGACTGGCTGCGAAACTGATACCGGTGTAGTGAGTGGCTTGCAGTCAACCATCCCAGACCTGTTTAACAGATATGTCATATAACGCCGTTGAGAAAGAACCATACCATCACCAGTATGAATTGTCTCGATACCCAGAAAGAACCCTGGTTTACCAAGATCCCGAATCTTGAAAGTAGATGCTAAGCGACCAAGTAAATGATTGACTAAGACGACGTCGCTGCCCATCATAATGATGTCATCAACGTAAAACAGAGAAAGACATTTGAGGTCTTATAGTAGAAGAGAGAAATGTCAGTCTTGGACGAGGAAAAACCTGCAGATAGTAAGAAGTCATGTAGTCGTTTGAACCAGGCCCGTGGAGCTTGCTTAAACCCATAGAGTGACCGCTGCAATAGACAAACATGATCAGGATGCGTCGGATCTTCATATCCCGGGGTTTGTTTCATATAGACTGTTTCAGCTAGATGCCCATTAAGGAAGGCATTATAAACATCCAACTGTCTGAGAGTTCATCTGTTAGTCACTGCAAGAGAAAAAAGTATGCGAACAGTAGTGGGTTTGACGACTGGACTGAAAGTGTCAAAGAAGTCTTCCCCAGCTACTTGATTAAAACCCTTGGCCACAAGGCGTGCCTTGTAGCGATCAACTGCTCCATCAGTAGTCCGTTTGGTGCGAAACACCCACTTGCAGCCAATGATATTCATGGTGGGTTCTGCTGGCACCAGACGTCAGGTGTTGTTATGGAGTAGCGCATTGAACTCCTGATCCATAGCATCCCGCCACTACGGATGTCCTACAGCCTGTGAGTAACAGGTGGGATCAGTTGTGGCCGTCAGGGCCTGGAAATCTTCATTTGTGCCATGAGTCATGTGTCGCAGCCGCATGACATACCCCCGATCCTGGGATTGTGCTTGTTTTGCCCGACCCCGAGGCCGGCCCCGGGTGGGTAGGACAACCGATTCAATGGCTAAGTGTGGCCCCTCTTGAGCTAGAGGTATAGGTGATTGCGGGGCTGGTTGACTTGCCATTGGATGCACCATGTTTGTGGGAATTATGGCCCCAGAAGCCCACAGTACAGATACAGGTTCGTTGACCTATGATGGTATATCTGTGACAAAGGGAAAAGAAGATTCATCAAACCGCACATGGCGACAGATATAGGTTTTTCCACTGATTAGGTCCATGCACCTATATCCCCTATAGGACGGTGGGTAACCTAGGAAGACACAGGGTGTCGAACGATACTGGAGATTATACGGCCGTAGATAAGGGTAGCATCGACACTCGAAGACACGAAGAAATTGGTAGGGTGGTGGCTTTTTATATAGTCGGGAGTATGGACTTTCAAACTTTAAGACCGAGGATGGAAGATAGTTGATTAGGCACGTAGCCGTTTCAAAGGCATAGTCCCAATATTGAGGTGGAACAGGCCCTTGAGCGAGCAGAGCTAGACCCGTTTCAACAATATGTCTATTACGGCGCTCTACTCGGCCGTTTTGTTCGTGCATGTATGCACATGATTGGCAGTGATTTATACCAAGTGTTTGAAACGTGTTGTGTAACTTGTGGTATTCACACCGTAAATCTGACTGGATAGACTTGATAGAGCGCGAGAATTGTCGCTCTACCAACACACGAAACATATCAAAAATTTTATAAATATCTGATTTTACCCTTAATGGATAAAACCAGCAAAACCGGGAGTAGTCATCGAAAAATAGCAAGAAATAACGGAAACCACTAACCGAGACTACGGGGGCCGGGCCCCAGATATCCGTATACAAAAGATCTAGAACATTTTGACTAGAACTATCAATACGATCTAATTTAAAACGGGAAGACTTGCCGAGATGGCAAGCCATACATGAGCCTAAATTGGACAAATTATTAGAATTGATTGAACATTGTTGTAGGATTTTATTTTGAACGACACTGTGTGGATGACCGAGCCTGCGATGCCAAAATGCTGGTGTAGCCCGGGAACTAACAAACACAAAATGACTCCGAGACACTGGTAACTTGTATAGACCTCCAGACGTGGGACCTTTAAGGAGCACCATTTTGGTTTTGGAATCCTTCACAAAGAAACAATTATCATGAAACTCAAAATAAACTCTATTCTCATTAGCAAATTTTTAAACAGAGAGTAATGGAACAGCCAATTTAGGCACATGTAAAACATCATATAGAAACAACTGTTTAGACACAGAAGGGATGGATGCAGGGCCAACCCGTGAGATAACCAAACTTGTACCATTCCCGACCCGGAGAGTATCCGAGCCACCATAATCTTCTTATGACGCTAGCATGCCTACATCCGGAGTGGCATGCGCGATAGATCCCGTGTCCGGATACCAGGCTTCGGCCGGAGAAGCCGAAGCATCACCTGAGACGGCGACGTGAGCCTGTGCGGGTGGCTGTCCAGTGTACCGTTTATAACAGTACAACGCGGTGTGCCCGAGTGCCCTGCATATTTGACACCGAGGATCGCCTCTGCCGCCACGTCCATCGCGTCGACCGCCACGCCCACCCCGGCGTCCGCCATCACCTTGCGCCGATCCACCGCCGTTATGCGATCCGCCACTGCCGCCGTGCGATCCTCCACTGCCACCGGAATTACGTCCACAACCTGCATACATGACAGTGTGAGAGCCACTGCCACCATCCATCTGCGGATAATCCTCCGATAAAATAAAATCCGCAACTTGCAAATAGTTGGCAAGCTGTGGCAGTGTGAGCGGAGTTTGAGCGGTGAGCGACGCAGCATACGATCTGTACTCCGGGCGTAGCCCTCTCAGCACGTACAGATTCTGCTCCCGAAGCGATAAGGGCTGCCCGGCCTACAAGCCTCGACGAGGAGTTCCGCCCGCCCGAGGTAGTCTGCCGGAGTTGCACCGCCTTGCCGTAATCCTTGGACCTGACCAAGAAGATTAAAACACCTCGCCTGAGTATTGGAGCCCAATGCGGTGCAGATGGATTGCCATACCTCCGCGGCAGTGTTGCAGCCAATTGCAAGATGAAGTACTTCATCGGCCATCGACGATATTAAGAGAGACGGGATCGACTGATCCTGCTGCACCCACGCCTTGTACGCTGGGTTGGGAACGGACTCCGCATTGGTGGTGCCGGAGCCGAATTCAGCAGCAGGGATGGGTAGTGTGGCCGGCGGACAAACCATACTGCCATCAACATATCCGATCAGGTCTTGTCCGCGTAGAAACGGGATGAGCTGAGTCCCCCAAAAAAGAAAATTGCGGGATGTCAGCTTCATTGAAATAAAGTGATGGACGTCGGACAGGGGGTTCATGCCGGTTGGAGTGGAGCCACCGGCGGCGGACACAGTTCTTTCCGACGAGTTAGAAGACATAACTCGGAGATGCGTCGTACGGGAAGAGGGGAAATAATTTCGTGGTGGGGGTTGGCTAGGAGAGAGAAGGTAGGATCGATTCTTGGCTGATACCAGATGAGAGAGATAATATCAATTCAGTTGAAAGTTGAAACACAAACGGATTACAGAGAGTATATCAGACTGGACCTCTAAACACTCCTAAGAGATAGGCTATTACATAGAGACTAAGTCTAACACCACAAACTATATATATAACTATAGACTATACAACAATAATTATAATAATAATAACGCTCACAGGAGAAAAATAAAGACAATATAACTAATGAAATTATTTTCCTTATTTAATTTATTGATAATGAATAATTTTTTTTTGAATAAAGGCATTGTAGACACATAATTATAAATTAAAGAAATGCATATGTATTATTTTTTGTTGTAGCTACTAAATTATTATTTAATTTAATAAGAGTAAAATAGAGTATTAATTATGTCAATTTTGATTGGGATGAGGTTTGAACCTAAGACCTTTCCTATTGAAATCAAAAGTAAGTTAACGTTGAACTAACAGAAATTAACGAAAAAGATAATATTTAATTGGAAAGTTAACCGATAATCATATAATTAAGGATAAATTAGGAAATCTCAATGAAAAATTAAAATCTGAGCTATTGATTAAAAAATTTGACCGTCATTTTTTCTATGACACGCTGTACATTCATAATTTCTATACTATACATTCATAATTTTTATACTGTACATTCATAATTTCTATACTATAGATTCATAATTTCTAAATTGTAGATTCATAAAATTTATAATGTAGATTCATAATTTCTATACTGCACATTCATAATTTCTGTACTGTAGATTCATAATTTCTGTAATGTAGACCCATAATCTCAATCTGACATTATGATGGCCACCAATAATTTATTTTGGAGAAAATGATGCATTTCCATATGTAAAATATTATACATCCGTAATTGTATATGCATCATGACCACCAATAGTTTATTGAATTTTATTCTCGTGTGGCCTTAAGAATGTCCTAATTTATCAACTTCAACTACAGTTGTTCTGTATGCCATAGATGGAACATCAATGGGTAATTGGGATGGATAACATACTGAAGCATGAAATTATTTTGGATGATAATTATGATCAGTGATTATGGAAATAATTCTTTCCATCCCTCTTGGCCTTCTTTACCAAGTTAAATTTGTTATTGCATTTCCCAGTCCCAAGGCTAGTTTGCTGATTATTCTCATTATAAAGACCATCTTGTTTCTGCTTAAACTTTAGATTATCCGATATTCATTCTTTGGCGCAAAGGAGGCATTGGCTGTGGACCTTCAGGACTTTTGTGGCTTAGGTACAAAGTCTATGACATTTGTTATATGGTAGCATTCAATGCATTTTCTATTGACATCACTGCAAGTATAGCTCCTTCATCTTGCTATATCCTACTGACATCACTGTCATGTATGATAATATTTGTGAAACATAATCCTCTCAGGTCAGAAATGAAGAGAAGGCAAGAAAAATATTTGGAGAAGATGTTGATCTGGTGGGTTATTTTCATGTTTGTGGTGATAAATTTGGTTTTAAATATTTCTGATCTTTGTTGCCTCAGCATGAGTAGGAGATGCACAACTCTTTTTCAAGAAATAAAAAAAAAATCAAGACACTGCACAATTGATCATGAATGTAAATTTTATATTTTCTTTCGATTTGAGTGGAATGAATTATACAAATATAGAGACTATAGGTTCAAAAACTTACTTTTGAAATGGGGATCTATTCCTTCTCTCTTTTGTTGTTTCTTAGGCAAGATAATCAATGAAATTCAGTGATACTAATTAAACTCATTGGACTTGTTTTAAATTAGAAGTTTTTGAGTTAAGGCCTTACAATTTAATACGGAGTATTTACCATTGTTTCTTGTGAAAGGTGGTGTGTCTAAAGGACAATAGGGTCAATATGTGATAAGTACTAGAGTGACATTGAAGATGGTGGAAATTTTACAGAAGATTAAAATGTCAAAATCTATTTTTATTTAAACTAACAGTTTCTTAATTTTCTCATTAAAATTTTGTGAATAGTTAGTCACCAAACTATCTTCTGGTCTGTTAAATGTTTGATCTTGGAAAAATATATGCAATTGTGGTCCATTATATTCAATGAGTTCTATTTTCTCATTGTTTATAGATGAGATTGAGAATTTGAAGGCTTCTATGGTTCTTATGCATCAAAGATTAAATGCTCTTGAGAGTGAGAGATCAGGTACTTCATCATCACCCTCATCACGATCGAATTCGCCTTAATTTGATATTTCTTTTATGAATTACTATATTGTTGTTTAGACATGAATTCGGTATTAAGTACAACATTTAATTTTTTTTTTTTAACTATAAAGTAGTATCAATTTTATATACAAATTATATTATATTTTAGTTTGCATATTAACATTTTAAATACAAATATTAGAATTTTAACAAAATAATAATAATTTCGTTATTATTTCACACGACCAAATATTGTGACCGAAAACAAATTTTGTGATGGAATATCTAGTTATGGAATTACTTCAGAAATTTGTTTCGTCGTTTTCTTACGACGAATTTGTAGGGCGGAAGATGAAATCTGCAAGTTTGAGACGGAATCGCGACGACAATTTGTTTTGTCGTTGTTTTACGATGGAATTTTATGACGAAATACAAAATTTGCAACGGAAAAGTTAGCGACGGATTCACGACAATAATTATTTCCATTGTTATATTTCACGACAGAAATATGTAACGGAATATGAGTTTTACGACAGAATATTTTTTCACGCGATGGCGACAAAAAGTAACATTTCCGTTGCCAACGGACTCACGCCGGAATGACTTCCGTTGTCTACTTCGCGACGGACAATTCCGTCGCCATCGCTTGCGACAGATTCTTTCTGTCACGAAATGAAATACGACAAGCCTTGAGACTACGGAATGAATTTCGTCGTGAAAATAAAAAATTCGTCGCAAAACGCGATTTGCGACGAAATTTCACGTCTTTGCGGCAGAATTTTTCCGTCGCGAATCGCGATTTTTCTTGTAGTGCCTTCAACTACGTTTTCAATTCCTAGGTCGAACCTTCCATGTCATATATATATCATTGTTTGTTAGATAGAGTTTTCTGAAGAACTTGCTAACAACAGGTGGTGAGCGTGCCATGTTGGACTAACGTTGCCGAAGATGTTAGTGGAGGTGGTGGCACCAACTATTGACATGCATATCCCATCGAAGATGATGTGTGATGCATCATTTATATTTCTCAATGTCTGTTTTTTCTTTGTAGTTTTTAATTTTATTTTTTTGAACCAAGTTTTTTTTTTTTTTTTTTTGAATTTATGTAGTTTCACTACTACAAAAATGAGGATATAATTATAACTTTACACTACACCTCTTAATAAGGGTGTAGTGAATAATTAAAACAAATAAGAATATACTACACCTTTATTTGAAAGAGGTAGTGAAAAGTAATTTCTATTTTAAAAAAAATTAAAATAGCACCCTCTTAAAAACGGTGTTGCGGGATTTTTAATAATAAAATATTTAATAAACTTTCCAAAATTATTTTCCCCTTCTACCATTTCCGGTCGCTGCCCTCTCCGATGACTTCCTTCCGCCGCCCTTCCTCTGCCGACGACGACAGCTGACAACCGACCTTCAGTTCTCTCAGCACAAAAGTTTTATCATTCCACAAGGATCAGACCATTTCCTCGTCTCACCTTCGTCGATCTCCTCCATCTCTCAGCCGTCGCTGCCTCTGCCGACGCCGTGAACCGCCGCGACCTGCAGGAGACGCCACCGCCGACGCCGCCATTCCGTCTCGACCTGCCGCCGACCCTGCTAGCCTCCACCACCGCTAGTAAGTCTCCCTTCGAATATTTTGTTATTTATTTCTTCTCCTAATCTCTAAAATCAAACTGGACGGATTCGCTCTCTTTTCGCTCAAAATATATTCACTGGAAGAAGTAGAACTGGAGATTCAAGCTTATAGCCGGCAGTTTGTTGTTTGTTACTATTATTTGTTATTAGTGTGAAGTGTAAATATTTATTAATGGCTGGTTTTAATTCTCTCTCTTTTGAATTAGGCTTTAATTTAGTCTTTGATAGTTTAGATTGCTGTGTTATGATCCATCTCTGGTAGCTCGGCTGGCCCTAAATCCAAAAAAAAAAGGTATGGCATTTCTTAATTATGCTACATGCTGTTTTGCTTTGCATTGTTTTACAGATGGATAGAACACCAGTTAGCTACACAGAAGTGCCAGTGGGAAAGAGCCTCAAGTCTTTGGATTTTGAGGATGATTTGCTGAGGGAGGCCTAAGATGTTGGGTAGCACTAAGCTGAACTGGACTCTGTTTGTTGATGGATATGGAAAGGATGGGAAGCGAATTTATGATCTTGTCAAGGGAAATACTTGCCATCAGTGCAGGTTAGCAGTTCCTTGTCAAGACTGTGTGTTGGTTTGTCTTGCATGACTTGAAATGTTTCTTCATTACCGGGTTCGACAGTCCCATTAATTTGAGCTTTTGATGACTGCTAAAAATCATTTGATTTCCATTTTGAGCTTTAGGTTATGTAGCGGCTTAATTTGTTACCTTTCTTTAGGATCTTATGCAGTGAGTTAGCATTTGAATTTTGAGAATTAAGAGAAATGTATAAGTATGGAGAGGTTAAGATGGTATCAGCATAGCAAGTGTGTACTTGAACTGGCAATACCCTTTTGTTGAGGCCCTATATATAGTTATACACACAACCCCACAAACCAGTAACCACATTGGATCATACATGAAAATATACAATGAAATACAAAATATAATATCATTCAATTGATTCTCTTAATCATTACAAAATCTATTTAACAATTATTGGGGCCAAAACCCACAAATCCGTTAGAGTTATCAATAGTAATTTGGATCCCTTGCTGCTGGAGGTTCCCTATGATGGATATTCCAGTTGGGGATGGAGCAAATGCAAAGCAAAATATGCCCCTTTTATTAACTGGTATAAGAATATTTTTAGCTGCAAGGGTCCAAATCTGGCCACCAGTAAAGAAAAAAGATATTGTGGGTACCTGAACCGTACCGAGCCCGTTCAGGTCGTAGCATGTATCTAATTGGGAGAAGCTGGGTGCCCGAGGAATGGTGGCGATTTGCGTCATATATATGTAGCGCAAAGTCTCGTACGCCACCTTGGGGAGTCTTGTCACCGAGGTTCCTATGTCCATGATCACCCCCCCGTTGCCCTGCTCGGTTAAACGGAAGACGTCTTCGGATATTGGGAGCTTTATGTTGCCGACGCCTAGACCCGAGAGCCCAATATAGTAGGTAGTGGGTGCCCGTATGCTTCGGAGCAAGGGTACCCACACAGCGCCCACGGGTATGATTTCTCGCCCGAACTCCAGTGAGCCGGAGGACTCGGCGTGCCAGCTCGCCAAGCAATAGCTGAAAACTCCGCCCGTTTGCCCGGGAATTTGAGCCATGAACGTCATGGATCCCCCGGCGAGACCCAACAATCCGCCGGCTCCGGTGACCATCCCCTGGTTGGTCTGGCTGCACCCCATAGTCACATCCCGGACCACCGTTCCCCCAAACGTGATAGTCTCCTGCACCATCGTCCCCATGTTGTAGGACCCATCAATGTATACGATCCCGTACGAGCACCGACCCCTGGTGCACCCCAAATGGATGCGGTTGCAGATGGTGGAGCTACACGGCACAATCGCAAATGAAGATGAGCGAGTTGGGTCAAACACGGGGTCATATTGAGGGAAGCATGGCTTACATGGTTGACATTGAACCCACATAAGATTACTCCCCGTGTCAATCTCCAAATATTGATATTGTGGCGGAGTCCCCACCCCAATCCTCACCACATATTCTGCAATCCCCAAATCCCACCCCAATCCTCACCACATATTCTGCAATCCCCAAATCCCAACCGGAAACAACCTCGGCACCTAACTCCTCAGCCTCATACTTGGCGCCAATGAGGTGGGCGGCTCTACGTGCGTCCCTTCTCATTCGGGATTGGAATCGGCGGCCCAAGTCCGTAAAATTGGAAAATGGCAATTCATCTCTGTGGAGGAGGTTGAGCTTCCAGCTACTCTTATTGCGGCTTTCATCCTTGAATTCCTCCTGGGTTTTTGGCAGAGGAGGAATTTGGGTAGCCTGAGAAAGAGATTTTTTGACGTTCAAATTGTCGTGGGTGGGAAAGGGGATGGCGTGGGTGTGGCCGGAAGAAATAGTTGTTTGGCCGGCACAACTATTTGTGAAGAAAAACAGTGAGAGGAGGAGGAGAAGCATTGTGGTGACTGGTGAGGAGTTGATCGAAGAAGAAGAAGAAGAAGAAGAAGAAGAAGTGTGGTGACTGGTGAGGAGTTGATCGAAGAAGAAGAAGTGTGGTGACTGGTGAGGACTTGATCGAAGAAGAAGAAGAAGAAGAAGAAGAAGAAGTTGTATTTGGACTTTGGAGCGAGAATATATAGGGAATGAGAAGAAGTTGTTTGAGAAGTCAAGATTTGGAGCGATATAATATTTGGAGCGAGAATATATAGGGAATGAGAAAATGTCGAAGCGATCAACTGGAACGAAGGGAACGACGGGAATGAAAGGGAAAACTGGAGATGTTATTCATGAGTGCATGTAGAGTGGTTATTTGTTCTGTTACATCGGAACTAATACAGACAGACGAAATATATATACAATGCAATGGAGAGAAAAACCGTTTAAAGAGATTAGTGTAATCGAAGAAGAAGTTTTGAATTTTTATCTTTAATTTAAGATAGAATGATACATATACAAGTAAATTTTAAATTTAAAATTGGACTAACAACTTCAATTCTATGATATGCTTATTCGAAATAATCATTTTATACGATGATCAAGAATATAATAATGTGAATGGGAATGAGAATCTGTGAAAAAAATTAAGAAAGAAAAGTGTTGAAATTAGGTTAGGCAATGCAATGAGAAGGGTTGTTTTTGTGTCAGACCCTAACAAATTAAAATCAACTCACCATTTCACTTAAAAAATTGCTATAAATTTTAGTTCTAATAAAACTTTACTCTTTAACTAGTAAAATGTGCATTCTTGACTTTCTTTTTAATACGAGTAAAAAAATATGAGTGATGAGATGTAAATCTAAATTTATTACTTATTGAAAAAAAAATGTAAATCATCACAAAACTTTACAAAAAAAACAAAAAAAAAAAAAAAAAAAAAAAAACATTACATGTTATTGACTTAATCATTAAGCAATTTAGAATACAATGAAATACAAATATAATATCACTCAATTCATTCTCTTAATCATCCATCATATGTTTTGGTATAAATAGAAATTGCGTTTCCTTTAAAAAAAAAATTCAATTGCTTTTAGTATTTTGCTTTGTAATTCATCATTAGTGCATCAATTTAAATTCAATCCTTTCTCTTCTTTATCTTCTTTCAATTCGTGTGTGTGTGTGAATTAGGGGTGTAAACGAGCCGAGCCCGAGCCTGGGTAGGCTCATGCTCGTGCTCGTTAATGATAGCACTTCTCGAGCTCGAGCTCGAGCTCGTGAATTGATGCTCGAGCTCGAGCTCGGCAATTGTCGAGCTGTTCGAGCTCGAGCAGCTCGATTGTTCGAGCTCGAGTTTAGGCTCGAATTTGAGGTCAATTTTGATATCAAATTTGACCTGTTTGATTCAAAATTTAAACTACTTTGTTTTATGACTTTTATCCATACATAATTATTAAAGTATTTTAATTTCACTCCCCTAATTATTATTTTTATATACTAAATATAATATAATTATATTACATATTATATATTATATAATATATTATAAGGCTCGCGAACGGCTCGTCGAGCCGCGAGCCTACAATACCTAAGCTCGGCTCGTGCTCGTTTAATCCACGAGCTACTCGAGCTCGAGCCGAGCTCAATTTTAACCGAGTTCGAGTCGAGCGTTAACCGAACCACTCACGAGCGACTCGCGAGCAGCTCGGCTCATTTACACCCCTAGTGTGAATATATACGAGTTAAAACAAGAAAAAGAAAAAGAAAAAGAAAAAGAAAAAAGTAAAAGTAAAAAAAAAATAAAAAATGTAAAAGTGATACGAGTTAAAACAAGAAAAAGAAAAAGAAAAAGAAAAAAGTAAAAGTAAAAAAAAAAAAATGTAAAAGTGAAAGAAAAAGAAAAAGAAAAAGAAAAAGAAAAAAAGTAAAAGTAGACAAGAGGGCTAAGGTTGAGAAGAAGTCCAAAATGAAAAGAGCATTGATTACTAAATCGTGTCATCTGGCAGTAAGATTTAAGTGGTATTTAGGAATTACTTCAGCAGAAAGCATTAGAACAATATAATGTGACAACACACCTGTAATCATAGGTCATTTGGAGATAAAAAGATATTACATTTCATAATGGGTTCAATTTTGTGCAAACATGAGAATATAAAAATGAAACATTACGATAAAAATAAAGTTCCTCATAGACAAAAATTTAAGAGAAATATTGTACATGGATATTAGTATTAGGCTTCCATCTACTGTGATGGAGTGAGAAATAACAGGTTCAGCCAATGGGTGCAGTGAAGTTTTCAATTGGAAGGCAGAGGCATTATGTATTCATCAACTTTTTATAGAATTTTGAGAATGAGAATTGAGAAGAAAGGATTTCCATAGAGTTTTATTTTCAAGGTATTATAGATAGAATTTATGAGTCCTTTCTCATTTATTTTTTTCTTCCATTTTCAACTTCACGAGTTTAAATGGGAAACTCCAAAATCAGAAAAAAAAAAAAAAAAAAAAAAAAAAACCAAGTCCTTGCAAGACAATTCCATAAAGTAAGATAAAGAGTAAAGACCACAACTTTAACTTCCATTCAAAGGTACCTGTTTCAACAGTAGTAAAGGCAAATCTGATCTGGAGCTTTAGTTGGAACCTCATGGCTTGCAATAGTATCATCTATATACCCCTGTAATTACCAAATTTGCAGTCACTTAAAAATAAAACTCTTGTAAGCATTTTGCCTTGATTCTCTCGATGATATATATCGTAGTTGGACTAACAAAATTCACATAATAATTATATTCTTAGGGATCGAGCTTAATAAGTTAACAAATATTGAGGTCAAAACTCACAAAATCGTTTGAGCTGTTAAAAGAAATCTGGATGCCTTCTTGCTATGATGGATAGTCCGGTTGGAGATGGAGCAAATGCAAAGCAAACGTGCCCCTTTCATCAACTGGTATAAGAATGTTCGTAGCTGGAATGGTCAGGATCGGGCCACCCATAAGAAAAAACGATACCATTGGTACCAGAATCGTAACGAACCCGTTTAAGTTGTAGCATGTGTCGAATATTGAGACGCTGAGGTATTGGTTTCGGTTGCGGGGGTTGTAAAGAAAAACAGTGAGAGGAGGATATGGATCGGACAAGCATTGTGAAGTAGATTAGTTTAGATTAGAGGTTTAAGCTAAGCAAATTAAAGGTGTGATAGATAGATGGTGCAGTGATGAGGTTGTTGGAAGAGTTGCAGAGAGGATGAGTAAGGGATGAGTGAGAATGAGAGCATTGGAAAGGGATGCAGACTATATATAGAAATTAAAGTGATAAAGAGAGATTAAAGAAAGAGACTATAACAACCTGCCTCAACTAATTACAAGAATGTCCTTGTTCCTACCCTTCTACTTCATCTCATATCCCATATTAACTATACTAGTTTTTTTTCCTAAGTTAAGTTAGTTTTCAACTATAGTGATTCTACCCAATTTAGTCATCAACTACAGTGATTTTTATTGATCTAATCCTTGATTCTAAGAGCCGAGAACTCAATTGGATAAAATTATCAAAATTGAGGACTTAATTAAACACAAAAAATTGTTTATGACTAAATTAAAAAAAAAAAAAAAACTCATTATAATAGAAGACTAAATTATGTAATAATAATAATAATAATAATAATAATAATAATAATAATTGACCTCATTAATCAAATATTTGACCCGTCTCACAAATTGAGAGCCGTAAGGCAGCCTCACACAAGTTTTTGTATTATTATTATTATTATTATTATTATTATTATTATTATTATTATTATTATTATTATTATTATTATTGTTATTCTTATCTTTTTTCTTTTTACAATTTTCCCTTTTTCATCCTCGTGATACACATAGATTTGTTATTATTATTATTTTTTCCCCCAAAGAAATTATAGAAAACATTAGACTCCTTCACAGTAAAAGAGAGAGAGAGAGAAAGAAGTAAACAAAGTGAGGAAGAGAACAAGATACGAGAGGTCCAGCATACCTTTATCTCCTTTTCAAGAACTCAAAACTCTCACCCCACCCCCAACCCCCACCTCAAAAGAAAGAAAAAAGAAGAGAGTTTGGAAGCGTGGAATAAGGAGGGCCACCTATTTAGGTGGTTTTTTTTTTTTTTTTTTTTTTTTTTTTTTTTTTTTTTTTTTTTTTTAACATTTAGGAATCTGCAACTAAATTTTACTAGAAAATTTCTAATCTAGACAAAGCACAATAATTATAATTATAATTATTATTACTTGTTATTATTATTATTAATTTATTATTATTAGGATAACACTTGTGTGAGACTATTCGTGATTTTGAAAGGTAATATACATGCATGGCAATGGCTGAAAGAATGTGTTTATCATTTTTTTTTTCTCTTTTAAAAAATTTCTCTCTCATTGTTACATTTCAACATCAATGAATTAATTTTAAAATTGGCCTATTGGTTTAAAAAATTCAAATCTTCTTGTATTGTGTCAAATATTGTGAAACCTATTAAAATTTGTAATTTAGTACAACTTACGGTCAAAAATAATTTATGATGCCCTCAGTCATTAATGACAAAACTCGTTTTAAATGAAACTGCCACATTTTGTGTTTGGGTTTTAATTATGATTATGCATTCATTTGATTAGGTTTTCAGAAGCTCATGAGTTTGACAAACCTTATGATGCAAAGGCCTTGCACTTGATGAATGCTTGCAGTTTGGTATTAACTACAAAAAAGATGAAAGAGGCATCAATCTCAAGTATGTTGTAATTGGTCCAATTTAATTTGAAACATATGAGTTTTATATAGTTGGGGTAGAAAACATGCACTATATATAATGGGCTCCGATCCGATCCATTTCATGTTAGTTCCATGTTGCATAGTCAACATTTGGCATTTGTGTATAATGACAAACACATGCAGTTTAGGGGATCAAATTAAAGCTTCCACTTTTTAATACCAGCTGGAACTGCCCACATTTAATTATATTTTTAGACATTTCCTGTGTAATTCATGAATGAAGTAACATCCCAAACCATGTTGGAGCTGAGTTAACTAACATAATTAAGGTATATATATGATTTAGTGCTATTCTATATCTGTGCACCTCCAGGCTCCAACTTTTATATATCATTCAGGTTGAAGATCGATATTGTCAAGTACCAGGAATTGAATTGAAGAAAGTAATTATTATATTGAGCATTCTGAAAATATAACACCTAGAAGCTTCTGGAATGATCAGCAATCTCTTAGTAAAGATGTGGGCTCTTTTGGAGAATGCATTCAAAATATCAATCCCCTGAAATATATCAAGTCTTTCCAATTTGAAAATATTAGAACTTATCTGTATTTCCTTACCAAATATTTACTTTATTTTCTGCTTTGAAATGTGCTAGTATATATTTCTCATGTTCTCCTTTAATTTATTGGTTGATAACTTACTTTTGAAGCATCAATATCTATATTCATATTCTAATATGGAATTAGTCATTGCTTAATAAGGGGCGTGGATGAAAAAATCTCAAGCTATTCAACAAACCTACCTATATGCTCTACAATAATATCATCTCATTTTAATTACAAACAAATAAGAATCTTTTTTCCCTTCTTTTTGGTGTATATATTACAATTTGCATTCAGTGTGAAAATCAAATGTAACATCATTACAATACTCTCCTGTTAAGTACTACACTAGGGGTAGGGGTTTCGAGATTCGATTCGATTTTTTTTCGGTTTCAGTATTTCAGTTTTTAAAAAAAATGATGTCATTCAGTTTAACATTAGTTCGGTTCGGTTTAAGAACCCCAATTTTTAAGATTTCTTAATTTTCCAAACATAGTACCAAACAATATATACATATTCACATAGTTAAAATCCAAACTCTAAACATTATATAACAAAATAGCAATCCAAAGTTTAAACACACTACTAAGTACTAATAACCAAATATCAGTTGGCTCACTTGGAGTATTTTGCTGACAAGATGAAAAATCATCCATATCTGTATAGTTAATACGAGTTTTTTCACGCGCATCGCGCGAATGGGATAATGCCCAATATTTAATTTTAAATAACTATTTCAAAGTATATAAATGCAAGATTATATAGGAGATGTTCATGGATATGCAATTGAATATAATGTTGGATTTGTTTATTTAAATAGTAATTTAAAGTATATGAATGCAAGATAATATATTAGAGATTGATAATAATTATATTGTCACTAAAATAAATGTATGCAGCTTTGTAATAACGTTAGATAATTGAAGAGCAAGATTATATTGGGATTGTTCATGCATAGATAATTGAATGTTAAATTGGCATATTTAAATAGGCAAATCTAAGTTTACAAATGCAAGATAATATAGTCAAGATTGATTATAATTGTCAATAAAATAATTGTATAGGTATGGTTGAAACCAAATACGGGACATAAAGGAGAGCAAATAAAAATGTGGGCATAAAATATTAAATATATACTAATATTGAAGAGCTAACTGCTGATTGCCAAACAAGGACATTGCGAGATAGTTTCCTACTTCAATTTGTTGTATGATTTGAATACTCGTTTTATCAATAAATCCCCAAATAGTTAATATGATTGGCTTAATTATATATTTTTATTTTTTTAAAACAATTATTATTATTATTATTATTATTATTATTATTATTATTATTATTATTATTATTATTATTATTATTATTATTATTATTATTATTATTATTATTATTATTATTATTATTATTATTATTATTATTATTATTATTATTATTATTATTATTATTATTATTATTATTATTATATACCTTTAGGTCATTTTACATGTTAATCTAAACAAACTAATTTTTTCAAATATCTTTTTACCAATTGTTGATATAATAAGTTGGTCAAATTTGCGAATATAATCCGCTAATGCTAACCACTAACTGCTGATTGTTAAACAAGGACATTGCGAGATAGTTCTCACTTCAATTTGTTGTGTGGTTTGAATATATATATATATATATATATATATATATATATATATATATATATATATATATATATATATATATATATATATATATGTTGTGCATATTTGATTTCAACAATGGCAGCCGTAACACTATGTAAGGCTCCTAATATAAGCATTAGTAGCACTCATCATATCTACATATCCTTTTATTTTATTTTTATATACAATATTAATATTTACATTTTATACAATAAAATTAACTCAATCAAATTTTAACCAGATCATGGGGTGTTTGGTAAATATATGTATGCTAATTGGGTTAGTGAGTTTGACTAGATGATTTCATTAGCTGATTGTAGAAAAATGTTTGGTAAATTAACGGTTAGCTAATAATATGCAAAATAACTTTCTCAAACAAGTGATAGAAAAAGGTACTTTGAACAACTTTTTGAATTTTAACATTTTGAAACAATAAGTTGTTACAAAAAGCTAATTAATCAAATACTCATATTGATTGTTTAACCAAGTTAAACAGCTAATAGTGGTCAAATAAGTCAAAATTGACTGATAAGCTAACTATGTTACCAAACAGTGCACATACCTCATTCAGAGAATAACTTTCTCAATAGCATAGATTATTTTATTCATTTTGACAAAATCTTAAATAATATTTTTGATAGATTAAAGATGATTCTCATAAAGAAAACACTATATGCCACTTAAATTAAAAGACATTTGATATGATTCGACAATGAAATCAATTAAATAGTGTGCGTGTATAATAGGTTCCTCTTTGTGAGAAATGAAAATAAACTTAGGCGGTTTATCTCAAAACAATAGGCACAAATGATCTATACTTAAATAAAAAGAATGGTGACATTTTTGTAATATGTAGAAGTTTTATTGCATCATCTGGGAGAAAATAAGAATGATTTTGGAGAAAAATAACATTGTTTTGATTTTTTTTTTTAAAAAAACAACATTAATTTGGTGAAAATCAACAACACTTTGGTAAAAAAAACATTGCTTTGGAAAATTTTCACAATTTTAAATACAAAAGGGAAATGACATTTTTGTAAACATGTAAAAAAAAAAAAATATTATTCATCAATTTGAGATAAATTAACTTCATTTTTAAAGAAATTCACATTCTTTCGGTCCAATCCACCAAACACGTCTTTTTTAAGATTAGGAAGCCTAACACACTGTTTTGAGTAAATACACACAATGTCCTATCAAATTGTTACTTATTTACGTAAATACCACCACCGTTTTAAAAGTCTATATATTCATTTGTTCATCTTTTTAAATGAAAAAATAATGAGATTTATTCTTATTTCTTGGATGAGCAATTATTTTTATATAATTTTTTCTATACAATAGTACGTAATTTCTACACATGATTCACGAACTTCTATACCTAACATTAAAACATGATTTAAAAGGTAAATATATTATTAATTAAACAAGTTACGTAATTGGAGTAATATACTAATATTAGTCGACTAATATCACCTTAAAATGTATTTTAATTTATAAAAAAAAAGTATAAAAGAAATAGAAGAGGTAGGGAAAAAAAAAATATTTTCGTTTTGACATCTTGATGAACAATTGGATACATAATTTTTTATGAACTTTTTAGGCTTATAGAAAATGGATTTAATTTACAAATTTTTTTTATAACAATTTAACAAATTGAATGAAATTAACCTGATGAACATATAAAATTTTCTAAAGAAATATGATATGACAAATATAACATTGAATCTTTTAGATTTAAATTAAATATTAAGTACGAGAATGTCGCTCGAGTCAAAGGAAAAAAAAAAAAACGAATAAATTATATTCTTTCTTTCTTGTTTGGTGGTGTTAGAAATTTGTGGATCAATTGCTAAAGATTTTGAGTAAAGGTGACATGACACAATGATGGTGGTTAAATATATATATATATATATATATATATATATATATATATATATATATATATATATATATATATATATATATAAGTTAAAAATAAGCTATAAGCTCTGTTTGATAAAACATATAGGCCCTATTTAGTAAAATAATTAGTCTATCAGTCAATTTTGACTTATTTGACTACTATTAATTGTGTGACTTGGTTAAAAAATCAATATAAGTGTTTAGTTAATTAGCTTTTTGTAACTTCAAAATACTAAAATTCAAAAAGGCGGCCAAAGCAACTTTTTCAATTAGCTTTTTGAAAAAAGAAATTATACCAAACAGCTATCATCTAACAGCTAATTTACCAAACACATTTCTACAATCAGTTAACAGCTAACAACCATTTACCAAACATGACCATAGAGTTTAAAATAATAACTTATTTCGAAATGTTATCTTTGGTAGGGTTTTAAAATAGACCATTGGCTTTCATTCTTTATTATGTGTTGGTCCCGGTAGTGTTATAGCGAGAGTATAGAGGGGGGGGGGGGGGGGGGTGAATAGACTCTTTTCGTGTTTTGCTAAAAAATCACCTTTCGGTGATTTTAATGCAGCGGAATGGTTAAGTTCGTTTTACTTGCTTTGCACGTTTAGACGTTATAAAAGATACTTTCGGTATTGATGAAAATTATGATGCAATGCGAGAATGAGTGAGGAAAGTAAAAGATAGGGAGACGAGAATTTTATAGTGGTTCGGCCAACTTTGCCTACTCCACTCTTCTTCCACAACTTATGGAAGGGTTGCACTATCACTCGTTAGTACAAGTACACAAAGACTTCCTTGATCACTAAGCCAGCCAGTCTTCGTAGGTTTTTCAACTCCGAGAGTTTACTTCGCATCTATCAACTTCTTCTTCAGAGCTGAGGTTGGAAGAAAATGATTTCTGATTTCTCCAACGTGATGAAGTCTTGATTGATGATGAATAACTGCCTCTCACAGGATTCAAGACTTCCTTAAGGTGAAAGATAAGGATTGATGGGCTTCTTCAAGTATCCTTGCACCTTAACACGGGTTCACAAAAACTTTAGAAAGCTGAGAGCGTTTTTAAGAGCTTTTGATTGTAGATAGATCGAGTGATAGAAAAACCAGCACCTTCTTAGTTGGTGAAGGTGGGTTTATATAGGTGATGAAAATTCATCCGTTGGAGGGAGATGAAATTTCGAACCTATTTTCCAGTGGGTAAGGACCGGGGAGCTTCATGCATTAAATGCTCCATTAATGAGATTGTACTATGTAGCCGTTGAAGGTATGGAGAGCATTAGGGTTTTGTCTTTTAGCTCCAAGAGATAGTACATCTTCATTTAATGCTCTTTGGTAATCGTGTCCCACAAGTTGAGGTCCTTT